TGTCTCGTGGTGGTAAAGACAGTAGACGCTGTTGATGCACAAGTGCAGCAGTTATTTCATTTTGCTTATGTATAGTAGTGACAACATCTCCATTTTGAACTTGATCAGTTTGATGATTTATCCTTTGTCTGGTTTGATTTCCACAAGCAGTTGTTACATCATGTTGCAAAACATGTGATTTTTCTAAGTCCATTTGATCATGTGCATCAAAATACTGCTTGCTCATAGAACTTTTCATTTCAGTCTGTTTTGGTCGCACATCCATTGTTTGCAGTTTGGTTTGTGTTGGTACTGCATTTCTTTACATGCTGCAGGATAATAATCCTTTGCCATGACATTAAGAGTTTTATCTGATGTCAGTTTCCTTTTTTCCCCTTCAAAATAAGAGTTCATTCCGTCAGTTGGTGCACGGGAAAGACACTGTTCATCAGAAGCCTGCAGAACTGCCAACTTTGCAGTAGACGCAGCTAGCTCAGTTTCTAGCTCAAGCTGTTCCTTTTTATCAGTTGCTCCTGTTCCTCCAGTGCATGACGTTCCTTCAAAACAGCCATTCTTGCAACCAGTGCAGCTCGCTCTGCTGCAGCTTTTATTTGTGCAGAGGAAGTTGTACTTGACCGATTACTGGTAACACTTTTGTTGCAATGTTTACTCACATTGGAAACACTATCATTAGGCATAATATCATCGTTATCAAACCCATCATGATTAATATCAGCACCATTAATTAAATGACCAGCACTTTCATTTTTAGGTTCATTGTTTTCTTTTGATTTAACCCACCTTTTCGGCAAATTCATCAGAGAACAACATTTTTGCTTTAAACCATATTTCATGTTTTTCTTTCTCCTCAACCGGCAATAAATTCATTAATGAATCATGCATGCATCTTATTTCAACACACAAGTCAATGTACCCATCAAGAGACGTTTGAACTTCTGAAACCAAACCATTTTGCATCAACTCTTGTATCTTTTTCTTTAAACTGCTAGCTTTATTTAGCTTAGCCTTTCTACCAGCTTGCAATCGATCTAACCGATCAGCAATTGCTTTAGCAGAAAGTTTAACCACTCGTTTGCCCGTTTGTGTGTCACAACTGCTGGTCAGAAAGTCCTGGTTGTCAGCAGTAGATGGCGCACTAGCACTCGCTGGTAAATCCACGTCCGCTATGCAATCCTCCAAAATAAAAGTCCGTCAGTCAATAGATCGCAACCAGTTAATTGATACAAAGTTAATTGTTCCTCCACTTCAGCAACCAATGCATTGGATTTACGCCATTATGTGTGCACACGTTTAGATTTAGATTCAGATGGCCATCTTACTAAGTGTAGCGCTACACATACCTATTCGATGCGTGCATTTCAAATCCAGCAACAAGGAAATCCAGGTGTCCTCCTGAACGCCGATCCTGTCCGACGTCACCCCAGGCTGCTGATGAGCTGATGCCAATCAGCTGACGCTCCGTTCCCAACAAACAGGCTCCGTCTGCGTCCCTCGTCGTAGACAAACGCCATCCAAAGTTCCTTTCCCACGATCAGTTCTTGTCATAAGCAATTTTTGACTTTTATGTAGAGGCTAAGCCAAAGCTTTAAGCCCCTGAGGTGGTACACCGGGGTAAAGTTGACACGCCGATCACTTATCCGCTGATTGAAATGAGAGCCGTCCTTGATGTTAGTCCAGATAATCCATTTATTTGCATGACTCGGCAATCATCATCTTATTTCCTTTGTACAACAAGTCATTCCTCTAACATGTTGTCAATA